AAAATATCAACATATCATCAATTTGTTCCTTAAAAGCTATTTAAATACATGCTATGTATGTACATATGCAGAGAGAGGAGGAAAGGCTTCTTTCTGTCATGAACTCAGCAGGAACAAGATTTTGCTCTATGAGGACTCTAACTGCCTCTAGTCAGCTCACAAACTCATCACAGCACAAAGGTCCAGCTGGACCAAATAACCAGACCATCCAGAACGGGATGTTCAGGTAAAGATGTATAAAAAGTTGATAAATGCATGGAAATCTTTGGAGTCAAGAACGTGTTCCAGCCTTGTATGTGTATGGTGATAAGAACAAGACAATAAAAGAAATCCCTCTCAGCTCTACAAAAGCCCAATCCCTTCACAGATTCCTGATAACTCATTTGAGATTGTTTTTTTGTATTTCTAAGTTTAAGCAATCTTTAAAATATTGGACAACATTTGCCTTCATGATTCAAAATACATGACTACACACAGAAATGGCAGAACCTTCCAGAACAAGTTTTCAAGGACACAGATTTGCCTTCTGTTCTTCTTAAGTGAGGTGAAAGCCACAGAGCAGAGCTACCACAGCCTCTCTCCACACCCAGGCCATTCCTGCTCTGAGCATCTCCTGGCAGTGCATGAACACAATGACAATAAACACCCATTACTTATGGTCTCCCTTCAGCTCTAACAGGACCATTACACTGCACTCTCAAGAAACCAGCTGAAACTCTGCACTTGGAATGTTAATATTATGGGTTAATATTATGGGCTCACAGCTCTTTGAACTTGCTGTAAGAAGTCCTAAGAACAGGTACTTTTCCAGCAAAACATAAACATATAAAGCAAACCAGGAGTTACCACAGCAGAGAGAGTGAGAAGTCGCATGATCTGGCCACAGAAAATGCCAACGATCTCCACCCCACTTCTATTTAGACTGAATCTACTCCTCCAAATCAATTGCTTAATTATTATAATTATATACACAAAAAAGCCAACTGCTTAAAACTAGCACATACTTAAAATGTTCTTCTAAAGAAAAGAAACACAAAAGGCAAACCCTATAAAAAATCTTTAGTTTCCAATAAAGAGTAACAGAGTCTTTTGGAATTAGAAATGGTTCCTTCTACATTTAATTCATAATCTTTTTCACTCTCCGGTAGGTATTGCCCTAACATTTTACCGTCTCTCCATCTTCCTAACAACCAAATACTCTATATGCAAGTTGTTTATCATCTCTGCACCTAATGCAATTTGAAATTTGCTTGAAAAGGCTTCTTATACTCACCATATTTATAATACACCAGATCAAATATTTGAATTAAGGAAGTTGGGCCCCAGAAACATTTTCATCTATCTACTGGGTCATGGCTTCTTTCAAAGCATAATGCACATCCAATATCACCTTAAATGTACATTCAGGTATTTGCAGAATTCTGAATACAGATTTGATTAGGTAGCATAAAAAGATTACGGTTCCATTGCCATAAAACTAAGAAAAATCAGACAAGCTTCTCTTTCTTAATATTTAAAGATACCAGGCTTCTGCTGGAGAAGCTTAAAGCTTTGCTCTGCTTTTATCTATTTTAAAATCTTTCTGAACAACAGCTATCAATCCAAAGAAATATATTTTCAAAGTATTCTTTCATTCCTCAACAAAAGATAGACATTGGGAAGGCACTTAAATCCATTCAGATGCATGTAGAGTAGCCTCTAGCAACTTCCAACCTATTTTAAATAAGCAGAATTTTTCTATTTCCATACAAATATTCCAGTAGTTTAGTCAACATTTTGTACCTCAGTAGGCATCCATGTTTGTTAATCTCATACATAAGGAATAAATTCCAAAGCTGCAGGAGCTCTGTGTATTCCCAGGACTCTGCCCAGGCATGCAGACCCCTGAGCCAGACTCTGCAGGAGGATGTTCCTCCAGGAGCAGCAGGCAGCCACTGGGGCCAAATGATTCACTCCTACCACCACCTCACAAAGTCTAATTTGATAATTATAGTGATTATCAATTAGCATCTCATCACTGTTTGATGACACACGATGACTTGAGGCTAACTAGCATCTCAGCTAACTAACTGCATCATTTAATAAAAATGCCATGAAAAGAGGGCTGGTGGCAGAGGCCAGCAGGCAGAGAGAGCTAAGCAAACAAAGGAATGTGCAACAGTTTGGGGACTCTTACAGGTTAATTCTTCTGAGCTGGGCCAGTGCAGACACACCCCAAGTGTGAGGGGGCCCTGTGCAGAGCCCTGGCCCTCACAGGAGTGGGAGCTCCATTCCCAGCCTGGGACAAGCCACAGCCTTTGTCTTCTGTACCCTGAAAGTCACTCCCACCATGCACAACAACACTGAGGTTCAAAGAGAATCCTTCATTACTCAGGACAACAACCCAATGGACATTTTAGACTCATTAAACTCACTTTAAAAAGGAAAAAGAAAGCAGATAAATTTTATATTGAAATATGTAATGCAACTATCAGAAGACAGAACAGCTGAAGACCTAAGCACAAAATGAATTTACAAGTGGTTTTGTCTACAGTTCACCATGAGATCAGCTTTCACATGGATGATCATTCAAGTTTAGAGAATACTCAGCCAACCTGTTGCAGCTGAAACTCATTTCTTCTATTCACCTTGAAGTATAAGATACTTGATCTCAACAACTTTACCTGATCTGTTTCCTAGGAATGAAGAACCTGCATTTCAGTATGCCTGAAATACTTCTTATGTCTTTAATGCTGGAATAGTTATTATGAAAACATTAGCTGGTTATAGCATTGTATTATGATTCATTCAGGAGAGCCATGGCCCATATATTTAGAATGTTCATTTTTTAATCTTAAAAAAAGATTGAAGTCATGTAATTCTCTCATGCATATGACCACATCATTCCATTAGAAACTTCTGTGGCTGTAGCAGAATTTCCATTTTCATGAAGGACTTTTATATTGTCATCTTCTAAAGTAAACTTTTGCATAAAAATGATGAATGTCTTAGGATCCATTAGAATTCAGAGTGCAAAAAGAACCGTAAGTTATAAATTAATACAAATTTTGTGAAATTCCAATAAAAGCCTTCTACATCAAGACCTCCACACTGATTTTTGTGTCAAATTATTCTTAAAAGGACTAACTAATCTTCAGCATTATATAAAAATTACAATGTATTTTGTTTCTGTATTACATAATTGTTTTATCTTTCATTGTTTCATGCCTTCTACACTTCATAGCTTTATCTGCCCCAATATTTTTCATAAATAATATATCTTATTCTCTTCCCTTCCCCTCCCTGCCTTAAGTACTCTTAGTTACTTAAAACTAACTTTGTGTAAGGACTTTTTTGGGGGATTGTTTGTATACACTACAGAACTCCCTGAGATCTACAGTACCTGAAATTGACACTACTGCAAATGCTGAGTAATCTGGAATAAGCAATTCTATGTGCTTTGTGCTAACAAAAGTTTCAATTCACTTTTAATTCAGTAAGGTGGCTAGTTTACTACTAACCATAGAAAAACTAGCACCTAAAGTGATTCCTGAATCCCTGGCACCTAAAACTACGTTTTATGATTTTTTTTAAATTATTTTTAATGTAAGCAGCAAGAATCATCAGCATTTATCTCTCAACATGAAGCATCATATTGGCACCTATCAACAACAACTACCAAAAGAAAAAAAGCAAAAAGTGACGTGAATTTTAATTTGCAGAGATAATTATGTCAGGTATGGCTTGTTTCAGGATAACAATACCCTGTTAGGGCTTGCAGGCCTCAGCAGAAGTAATTTGGGAATAGCAGTGACAGCATAAACAAAGCAGTGAGAAAGGTTTATGAGGGTGGAGTCCATATAAAACACTGGATTAAATCTCTTCTGTATCCTGCGGCTCCAAACTTTCTGAGGATGCAGCAGTAAACCCAGAGCAGACAAACTACAGCAGACTTGGCTTCCAACTCCTCTTCCTCAACACACGAGCCCCATCCACTTATTACAACTGAATGCACTGTTGTTCCCTGTGAAATACTTGAAAACAAAGAGCTAAACCACAAAGACTATTCCCCTTCATGGAGTATTAACTTCCGCTTTAATAACTAACTCCTGGTCCCACACGATACAGTTCTGCATTGTCCAGCACACCCCACTTCAGCCAGACAATGCACACAGCAATAAAACTCAACCCAGCAAAGAAAGTGAAAGCTGCGTTTGTTCAGCGTGTTATTTGGCGCAGCCAACTGTAATGCTTCTGCCTGCCATTTATTGTTTACTCTGTCAAAGGATTATTAAGAATTAAGCTACATTTGGCAATTTTTTGAGAAGGGAATTTACATGCAAAGTGACTGACACTTGGTATTTAAAGTCTATTGGTCGAGTCTGACCCTTCGTTTACAAGTGACTCATTTGACTGCAAGGATCTCTGATGTGGAAATGCTCAGATACGAATCAATTGCAGTTTTTGTCTCGGGTAAATGTTACTTGGCAATCCAAAAGAAATGAACAATGCTGAGACCGAGGCTCACATAGAATAGTGCTCATATGTTTAAAGAATTCCTTTTACATGCCTGGTTTAGTTCTAGTCGGAGGATTTATGACTCCCCTTCTCCTAATAACTTATCTCAGAGCACAGTGGTTTTAAACACACACACACAGACACAGAGACACACACACACAAAACCAGCAGTTAACTCTTTTGCTGCCTGAAAGAACAGCACGGATGCATTTAAGTACATTTAAAAAGCAGGACTGTGATTCTCCGTGGGAGGTTGGGATAGGATAAGGATAGGACTAGAAAGGGAGAGAAACATGAAGGTACAGTTTGCAAATCCCTGCTCCATAAAGAAACGATTGTGTGTAAGAAACGACCATTCCTACATGAATCAGCTCAGTGCGAATTCTGCAGTTTATCTCTGATAAGGATAAAAGTAAAAGGGTTTCTCTGTACCCGAGCAAGATTCCCTTGCTCTCAGAAGGCAGATGCAGCATTTCTATAAACAAAAATGTCTCTAGCCCTACCTTGTGCCAGTGCTTGCAACATGTGGAGCTGAAGCAACAGAAACGCCCACCATCCCCGACAGAAGATGAAACAGAAGTTTAACTTTATCATCATTCCGCCTCGCCTGCTATTCCTTCGGGCAATAATTTCGCGATCCACCTTTCTTTCAACCGGTATTGCCTCACTGATGCCCATCCGATCCGACTGGCTGCCACTCCTGGCAGCGCTTTGGTCATCGCTCATTCCGCACCCGCGGGCCGGGCTCTCTGAGGAGGGTCGGGAGCCCGTGCCCCGCGCTTTGGGGGGAAGCGAAGCCCCCACTTGCCAGGATCGGCGGGCTCTTTGATTTGTGCTCGCTCCGCCTGCAAGCCGGGAGCAGCGCTCCGTGTGCCTCCCGCTATGACAGTCGCCACCTAAGTCAATGTTTCTTGTGGAGGTATTGATTGCACCAAAACAACCAGTCAGAAATGTGAAACACATGTTTCTCTGCACTGTCACATCCGATGCTTTCAGCAGAGAGCGAGTAAGTTCATTGGGCGTCAGTATTTCAGTAAATCCGGATCCTTCAGCACATCGCAAACAGGAACACGGAGAAACTGATCCATCTTAGCAGCCACCAGCAGACAATCCAAAGAGAACCTTTTATACCGCAACAGTGATGGAAACTGTTACCCCCGTCATTTTAGTGGAGCGTGGTGAGTTCTCCAGCATGTGTCCCATTCTCCTGTACAAACCCTCCGATGGAAGTGTTAAAAATTCTCGCAGAAGGGGGGAGAAAAGCGACAAGGAAAAAAAAAAAAACTAATTGAAAGTATCTCGTTATTCCTTGCGCTAAGGATTTATTTCAGACAATTTCAAGATTAGCCATGCAGACAGGGTAGTCTCCTGATATCCTCGCAAAGCTCTGCATAGTTTATATTAATCCGATTTTCCTTGGAATACAAATCTCTACCGTCAATAGAAGGGTTTGAAGGGTCCTCGAGCAGGTAAATCGAGCAGCTCCGGCTGTGATTCCAGCTCGCTGTGCAGTCAGTCAGCCACAGGCCGGTGCCGGTGTCACTTAACTCCTCACGTTCAGCCGGAGGTAGGGAAAACCTCAGTTGATCCTGTCTCCCTCCTCGAAGGCTGGTGCCGATCCCTTCCTTGCAGGGAGACCACGACAAAAATCACCTCTAACAGAGAAAGCGCTCTTTCTCTGGCCGGCTGTGGACGCAGTGAGGAAGCAAACCCTCAGCTGGACAGTGTCCGGGGTGGGGGGAGCGAAAATCTCCCGAAACAAACAGCAACAAGGTGAAATCCTCCCAGCTCTGCTGAGCCGGGCTCCTGCTCTCCGCGCTGGTGCAGCCCAGGGATCCCGGTCCTTCCTCCGAGCGTCTCTCCCTCACAGGCGCTGTAAACACAAGGGGGAAAGCGCGATCACAACAGCGGCAGCGGCGGCAATAAAACCCAACCGAAAAAAAAAAAAAAAAAAAAAAAAAAAAAAAAAAAG